TTATTTTTGCGTGATGTTAATCGGGAAGATAATTAGAAAGGGACAGATTATTGCCATAATAGGGGAATTTAAAAGTATCGCGACATTGTTATATAGATTTTCATTTAATTCGAGCTGTAATTCTAGGTTCGTCGGTATCTCGGACTAGTATAGCACAGTGTTATCGAGCAGTTGGAACATCGTGTTAGTTATTGTCACGAGATAAATAGTTTTCGCAATTTCTGGAGCGTGTAGTGTTGCACGTCTGATTCCTCGAATCTTTCTAAGCTCGTTTATCGCGCCCCAGCAACTTGTTGCATAATCATTACGTTACAGGCCACAAAACGATTAGGTTTGTTTGATAGAATTGCAACGAGATTGCTGCAATCCAGATTCGTCGTTCAGTCTTTCGATACTTGCCGAAATCTCGGTGCACCGAATTCTAGAAATTGCAGTTTCTCTAGAAGTCTTGGAAATTTCTCTAATTTTACATCCTTATCTTCCTTCTGTTCCATCACACCGAACTTAGATAATGAACTTACTCCAGATAATGAATCTTCCTATAACCAGAATTTTGTTTTCTGCTAAGAACATGACTACAATTTTTCTAGCCTGCGATCTCGAGACATGAGAATTGATAATTATTGTACGATACAAGTGTCACTAGTCGGTACAAGTTTGTCAAGAAGATGGAGTAACCAAGAGATAGGGAGAACGAGATTTTTTAAATGAAATTATACAGACAGCAATTTACAAAGCACGGTTTTTTGTTTAATTATTTACACTTCAGTAGTGACTCTCTGTCGCCGTTTGTTTTAATATCTAGAAGCTTAAGTAACGAGTATGAGAGAATAACTAGATGAGAAATAAGTATTCCTGAAATATTGAAATGAAATACAGGTGATTTCCTTTTCTTATTTTAGCATAAATCGTATCATCGAGGTGAAAATATAAGATAAGCTTCGAATTGTTGTATTTTTATACCGAAAAACTCTTCCTGTGCATAAAAATGTATATATAAAAATTAATAATTAATTAGAGGCCACTGGGTTAGTGCTATTATAATAAGACCACAGTACTAACAATTAAATAGGAAGAAAATAACACAAAATTTCGAAAATAAAATAACATCGTACAATTATTTAGCATAAATCATATCACCAGAATTACTCAGAAAAATATAAGAAAAGCTTCGAATTGTATTTTGATAGCGAAAAAATCTTCCAATACAAAGGAATATATATTAATAGAATATATATAGAAATTAATAATTAATTAGAGGCTATTTAGTCAGTGTTATTGTAATAGATACAATCAATTAAATAGGAAGAAAGTAACACAAAATTTCGAAAATAAAATAACATCGTACAATTATTTAGCATAAACCATATCCCAGGGATCACTCAAAAAGATATAAGAAAAGCTTCGAATTGTTACATTTGTATAGCGAAAAAATCTTCTCGTGCAAAGGAATGTATATTAATAGAATATATATACATGCACCAGTGCTATTATAATAGAACCATTGTACGATCAATTAAATAGGAAGAAAATAACACAAAATTTCAATTATTTCCATTATCTTTCTCTTTTTCCCTGAGTTTAGCGTCACAATGGCATCATTGTGATTGCTAACACACTTAGTTGTTACACTTGCTAGTACAATTTGGTCCCTTTTAAACATTCTAAGGTATTTTCGACGTCTTTCTGTGATATTAGAGTTATATTCGAGAACTCTATATTTATATCCACACATTACCTGTATACTCCTTCATTCACAGATGATTTGTCAACGATGATTGAAAATTTCAATTATTCCATTAACAAACTACCATCCAAGCAACGACAAAGTCCTCACCCACTCACGAACAACATTCCCTCAATATTTCCTGCCACGATCCATCAGGATCAACCTAAAAGAGAAAACGCAAAACGAAACCATGGGATTCCCGTGTCAAATCGGTCAGTTGCTCTCTCGACGACGGGTTAACCGTAGACGGACGTGCAAACCGGTGGAAACAATTGGTCAATTCGTCCGCGGCTAATTAGAGAATTGCAGCGATGAAAATACCGGCTAGCTCTTAATTCGATTCAGCCAATTAACTCTCTCCGTCCCCCTACGGGCAACCATAATCTCTCTCGGCTAGCCGAGTTTCTCAAACCGATCTCTAAACGCGAAAACACACGCGTCCGATCGAACGCGGTTCTCCATCTGGAAAATTGGAAACGACCGCGAAAAACCAAGCCCGAGACCACGAACCACGCGGTTCCCCACGACGGTTCCTCTTCTAACCGAGTTCAAAGTTCGTCCAGCTGTTCCGAGGAATTGGGTCAAAGTCGTATCGCGACGAAAAAGTGTCCCGTGACACGGTCGTGAATCACACGCACGAAATATATCGCTGCTTGCATAATCCAGTTCGGTTTCCACGTGTCGTGGAAACTGAAACGTTGGACACAGCAACCTGGTATCACGGAGTACCCAGGAAAAGCGATTTTCAATCTTCCAAATGCTCAATTTTCTCTATTATAGCCTAAATTTTCGAATTTGTCATTTAGCCAGCTCCACTTCTCCATGTTTCTCTTGACACGTTGACTGTCACGATGATCACCGGTGACACTAATCTTCTTAATTTATGATGTTTGTCTTATTTTAGCCATTTTCTACAAACTCGAATGACGTAAACAGATAGAGGATTTTGAATTCAGAACATTAATAATTGAAACTATTTTCTTTTTTTCTTTTGCAATGATGTTTGATAATTCATCGTTTAATCCAAAAAATATTGGGATTTTATCGTTGTCCCCTGAATGTACCATATAAAACATGCGTAATAGTCAACATTCATCAATTTTTCGATATTTTTTCTTGTTCTCTCCCATTTGATGCTCTTATTCTTCCATTTTTCCATTTCACCGGTTAATTTCACCGTGATAAATTTAATATTAATTATTTTGACGTGTAGTCTTATAATAAGTGTGAAGTTTGGTGATGAATAAAGACAGGGAAATCTTGAGCTGATCGAATTTTAACGATTACAACTTGCGAATTTTATTTACCGATGTAAGGAACGAATTTTTGCCACAATTGATGTCAGTTTGTATCATCGTTTGTGTACCTATCCTTTCCTATTGTCCCCCTTCATTATCAGCGCTGCATACGCTGTATCCAGGTGCGCGTTGCAGGTCGGTAGTCGCGGCGTTAATGGCGGAACGGTTCTTCGAAATTTTCCAGACAATGAGGAATTCGTTAAAAATCCTCGAGTGACTCTAATGGTTTGAGAACTCGTTAAAATATAAACGAAGCTACATTAGAAACTTCCCGACAGACAAACGAGTTAATTGCGCGCAGTTTCGAGCGCACAAACTCCATATTGCTCCACAACAAAATTAATCTGTGCACCGGGAACGGCGGTTAGGTAACGCGGCTCGTCAATTCAGACGTTAAATAATGACGCATCGTTAGATGTGGATTATGAAATGAGTTACGATCGGAATACAGTTCGAAAGCATGTTTTGCCGCGATAATTTCCCATGTTTTCTGCCGCGTGGATATCGGCCTATTCTTTGCTCTATGCAGCCCGCCCATGAAGAACGGTTAATCGAGGAAGAAGAAGAGAGAAGGAGCACGACCCGTGGTGTTTGTCATCATTATCAATGAGAATCTTTATCGCCACTCGAGATACGCGGCGCACGAGTGCAGAAATTTATTTCGCCAAAGGCTGGATCACCGTCTCGTTTGCATGTGTGTACAGGATTTGCGCGTTTACGGAGACTCAGGGTTACGTCGCTCCAAGTGTCAACTTTCTGCGAGACTTTTGTGCCCGGCCAGACACCGTTTCGCGGCTTTGTTCCACCAAACAGTAATTTCAGTCCCGTTCCAGCGCCTATGCTAAAGAAATTTCGATATATTCCGCGAGGAAATAACGGCGCGCTGCGAATTTCGATATAGATTTTGAGGTTAGGATAATTCGCGGGCACTTGGAACCGCGCCAGCTTTTCGGGATCTGTTGCATCGATTGTCGTACATTATGCTAAAGCAAATATGCTCGATGGGATGGAAAAGGATACTTCGATTTCGATTAGGTTCCTCGAGAACGAAGAACGCAATTATTTATTGCCCTGATTACGTTATTATTATCGATTACTTTCGGCGTAGATTCGCGTGTACTCCGTATAGTCCGATTCCAGATAGTTTGATTTTATTTATCCTGGAATGATCGCTTTATCGCTCTGTTTGTTTGGGATTTTGGATAATATATTACTGGACGAGAAATTAAACGGTCGTATATAAGTAGGAGCCGGAAAAATACGAACGAAATAAATTTGTCACGAAAAGGTGAGTCAGAGACTCGCGGAATACTATCATACGTGTATCGATTTTAATTGCGATTTTATTATGCTTCATTTGAGCTACTTTTAATTACGATTCTTTTATGACGTATTAAATCAGACGTTAAACACTGTTTAACACTGTTAAACACTGTTGCTAAACTCTGTTTAGCCAACATATTTACGATCCGTTTCATTTCGCTTGGATTTTGCGAGAAAGCGAAATAAAGATTCCGACATACGTACGTACGTATGTAAAAATACGGATACATTTGCGAACGTAAATACGCGTTTAAAAATGTAAAAAGAAAGAAAAGGGGGAAAAAAATGACAAAAAGTGGTCGAACGAAATACCTGGTACGGAGGAAATAAGTAGGTGCCTTCGTTGAGACGTCTGCTACGTACGACGCAGAAGAGCCCTTGATTCTCTCCATCTTGCGAGCGAACGATACGATCGCCCTCTTCGTGAGATGCCGTAATTATTTCGGGCGAGCACGCCGGTATCGAAAGAAAAAAGACTGTTTGTAAACGATGAGAAGAGCGCAAAGTCGTGTGTCTTGGATGCGTGTTGCTTCTTGTTGGGTACTCGGTCCCGGAGGTGGGGGATGCGCCCGAAGAGACAGTCTCGGCCGAGTGCCCCGACGTGTATAAATACAAGCAGTCGGCTTCGTTCTCGCTTAGTCGCTGCGATACTCGATTCTCGTGACGGCCTGTCGATTCGAGTGTGCGTGCCCCGATATCTCGATTTATCGTAACCGGCTATCGTGACGGAGTGTAAAAGCAGCAGGTGCGCGCGCGCGCGCAGATCCCGAGACACGGTATAATAACGTTACGAAAAAGAGAGAAAGAAAAAGTGAGAGAAAGTCGCTTGCTTCTTTTCGGTTACGTGTCTCCCTCTCTCCGCACGGCGAGACGCGACGGTTACACTGTCACAGTTTCACAAAAGCACCGAAAGATCGCGCGTGTCACGTGGCCTCTCTCGCTGTATACAATCGCGCGCTGGTTTTCGGCTCGTGTGTGCGCACGTCGGCGTCGCGTCAACGTCACGTCGGTATCGCGACGGGAAAAAGGACGAGTGCACGACATCGCCGGCCTCACCGGGCCAGCCTCGATTCTCCGTGATCATTTGCACGGTATCGGACGAAGAAAAGGAATTCTGCGTGGCTGAACGCCGCTATCGGAAAGTCGAGTCGTTAACCTGAAAGCGTTCCCCTCCAGAGAGAAGACGGAAGCGACGCTCGGTTAGAGTTTCGTGGTGGAAAAGTCAGCGAAAGAAGAAAACTCGCGAGGTAGTGTTACGATCGTGGAAAGAAAGAAGTTCGTCTCTGTCGGTTCGTTGGTGAAACGATCGTGCCCCGTTCGAGGAACCGTTATCGAATTCGTTCCGTGTAGTTCCGAATACGACTGTCGGTTTCGCGTAGTGCGTGCGAGCAGGACCTCTGACGGCTCGAGGACGAATCAAAGGTCGAATCAGTTGACGTCTGCGACGTAGAAAGACGGGAACGAGTTTCCAACAAGGGGTCTCGACTTACCAGAAAATAGAGAAACAAACGGCGAGCAAAAGGCGCGCGAGGTGGAAGGTAGTAGTTGGTCGACCACCGTTGGCTGGTTCCGTGCACGATTCTCCTGGGTCAACGATCCGTTGGTGGATCTCGCGCTCGAGCTGATCCCGGTGTACACATACCCGTGGACAGGGTCCGGTCGATACGATACAGACTCGTGTTCGGTGGCGTCCGTTGGATACGCGCGTATTCGTGCCGATAGCACGTTTCACGAGGAGTGAAAAGGCGGTCACTCGGTACGCCGCCGTGGCTGCTTTCACCGTGGCGATGGAATAATGCCGATCGCGCCTTAACGGTACGCGACTCATGCCTTCCGTATTTCCCTTGCGAACCACCGGGAAAATGATCGCGGATCTCGGGTGATTGTGCAGTGTGTCGCGAGAGTTCCGAGGTGGTTTTCTTCGTCGACGGCAGTGTTTTGGCGAACGTATCGGTGTGTTGATTGCTCGGTAATACAGTGAAACGTGGATACGCTACGGTTAGCCGAGCCCGGTGCCCGCTTCGTTCCGAAGATTTCGATCGATTCGGCCGCGTAGCATGGAAACCAAGATGTACATCAGCAGCGAGCCACAGAACGGTCACTCGACCGCGAAATTCGCGTCCACAAACTCGATACCTTCTATGATGGAAAAAGAGTCGTCGTTCGCGAAGCTGATTGGTGCTGTCGGTAGGAGGGACTCGAGCGCTATCTTGCGTGACAATAAGGGAAGACGGCACAGCGTATTGGAAGATTTGAAGGCGCGTAGAGATAGTTTATTCCAAAGGGCGAGACGCGGTAGTGTCGTGGAGGAGAAAGAGAACGCGAAGCAAGTGCAGAAAGAAAAGAGACGAGCGAGCGAAGGTGGCCGACGATGCTCGGTTTTCTACGTGTCACAGGATCTGCTTGAGGAGAATCAAGAGTTGCTCGAAAACGAGAGAATACAGGCGGATCTCGAGGGGAAGAAGGGACGCAGAAAGTCATGGCATATCCTCGCGAAGCCGCCGAAACTCGATCGCAAGAGAAGGAAAGGAATCGCTGGCGTTCCTACACAGGTTGGAAGCACGGACGGGCTTTACACGCAGGCCAGACAGAAGAGGCCTTCGTGGTGGAATATATTCGTACCTGACTCCGTTGCCAGGTATTTATTCATCATATTGCTCTACATTCTGCGTGTTCGAACACCGATACCTCTTGTGAAATACTCGAACGTTGATAACACGACGCAATGGTCCGTGTTATAGAATCGCCATTTTTATCTTTCGCAACGTGCAATTCTCTCGTACTAAATTTCTTACACTCAAACAAAGACGCTTGTTTGAGCTGCAACGTAGATAAAAAGGTAGATTTATAGTAACCGTTTCGTGCGGTGTTGTTCGAATTTCTCGAACGAAATTTCGTTCCATAGCCTTCCCGTCTGTAATTTTCGCACGAGACCGGTTTTTTCGCTGTTATCCTTTTCTGCTTTTCGCATAACGGTTTTATTTCCACGCAAAGTAGCTGAATACGGTGCATCGCTAAACATCGCGGAACGTCGCGGAACATAGGTTATGTTCGCCGTTGTAGTTTCTTTTTCGTTCGTCATTCGGGTAAAGGTGGTAGTTTATTCGTGAGGTTATTATCGTCGATGGTGTAGGATAAAGGAAAGGCATTCGACAAGCAGTGCTGCCACTGTCATAACGATCTCTGTGTTCACGGACTAGAAAGGGAGCGTCGGTTTTGTTGTAGTTCGTTTCTGTTATATTACTGTTAGTACGCACGGTTACGAGAGAGGATTTGATTTCTCGAGGAAAGAATCGCGAAACAGGTGTACCGTGTAAATATTTAGAGAAGTCGACCCGGTTGAAGTCATAATCCGGGCCACGGGTAATCATGTCACTGTTCAGACAGTCGCATTACCATCCGCGATAACGATGGTTAGTAACGTACACAGCGATTTTACCAACCGAATTCTTGCATGATCTGTTTGTGTTACGTACTTGAGTGGAAAGTGCCTCGTGATAAAAACATATTGCTCGCGTTCTTCCGGAGTCGTTAATATTTCTGCATCCAGTGTGACGTCATACCGACGTTGGACAAATTTGCTATACGTATCGCGTTCACGTGTCAGAGTATTGTATTATGCATTGCATATACACATACGCTGTATTTGTATTTGAATTTTTCGTCGGATAAAAGGAATTCTTTCTCGAAATCAACCGTCAAACTCTTCGGTAATATGAAATTACCGGAAACGAAGTCTCGATTTATGGCATCCTACCGCGCAAGATTTAACGTGTTTCCGCGAACGGGAAATTTTTCTGGAATTTCCTCCGGTGTTTGTTGGTAATCCCACGATTTCTCCGCGCATGTGCATATCTTTAAATGCGGAAATTGAACATCGCGATTCAACGTGCGTTTATCGTCCGTTGGAAGCGTGGCGACGCCTCGGCCATACGAAATCGGTCCACCATGTTGACGAAAACGTTGCAGGGCCGTAGATCGAGTTTTCGGCCCCCCGTCGTTGTTTTCGAAATTGCTTTTCTTGGAGACAGCGTCTCCGTCGTTATCTGGGATTACACGAGATTATCTCGAAGGTTATTACCTTTATCTGTAGGAAAGAACATTACGAATACTCGAGAGATCGTTAAACTCTTTTCGATGTTTTTCTTTCTCTATCACTGAAATAACGACAAGCAGACATTATAACGGCAGACACAAGTAGGCGTTATCTAGCCTTAGTTACTGATCTCTTAATCTCCATGCACGGTTAATTGACGATTGCTTTCTGGCTACCGATTGTCAACATCGAATCGAGCGGTGTCGTATTAACTTCGATGATTACAGATAATACTCGATACCTATGTTGTGATGGTTTAATTACCATAACAAAATCTCCGACCTTCGCACTGCGATTGTTCAGCCGTTTTATTGCTAACTAAACACTAATTTTATTGCTGTTCCAAGCATCGGCACAATTATCCCTTCTCAGTTTCACGATCGGACACATTTCGAGAAAGCAATGTTGCAATCGGTATACTTTAGTTGCATTGGCGGACACCTTTAACGAACCTCGAGGGGAAAAAAAAAAGAAAATAAAAAAGAGTAAAATCACGACACGAGAGACCATTATTTTTAATCCTTCAGTCAATACGGTGCTTACACCGATGCTCTTTTCGTGCTCCCACTAATTATCTCATTACGTTGCTTTTTTACGACCGTCATTAAGCGTTGTACGCCCGATCGAATCCATGTTTCATCATACGCCAATGAAAGCTAATACGAGATAAAATAAAACTCGCGAGATGAAACAACGTTCCCAAAAGCCTTCGCTCACCGTTTATTTACTTCTCGTTCTTCCACCGCGGAGCGCGTGGAACACAGATAGGCAGTACTGTTCGCCGACTAGAAGGGAGAAAGAGAAACGCTTTTTCTCCACTGAGGACGAAAATTTACCTGGGAAAATTGGGTCGATCCCATTCGCAACCTTCCCCTTTGAAAAATTGGCAACTCGCATCGTTGTTAATCCGTCGTTGGTTTTTCCCCGAGTTTATCCTACTCTCTCCTTTCTTTTTATTTTCCCTGTCTCCGCTCTCCCAACAACCAATGGAATTTCCTAGTCCCTGAATTTTTGATAATCTTCCCGGTGATTCACGGCGAAGTCTGGCTTCCCCAACGCTTTGAATCGAAACGAAATCTATTCTTTCGATCCTTGCATAGGTTCTCAAACAGCAGCAGGAAACATTCTTCTCTAATGAATCACGTGTTATTAGACACGTCTTCGAATCTGTTTAAAGACGCTCTCTTTGTATATTCCACGCGCTATTACAGAGTGCTATTTATAGTACATTTCTGGTATTTTTACACCGCAGAAGAGGCATCTAATTTCTTCTTGATTTTTTGAAAATTAAATTCAACGCTCTGGGAGGAGTTTCATATTTTTATATCGCATTCATGCTGCTTCGGGAGAGGTACCCTTTGGGGTGCTAGTTTTTACAGGTATAAGCTATGCGAGGAATTCGCGGAGACCACAGAGATCCGGTCGAACGCCTGAAAATAACTGTCCATATTATTTTTCATTTCTTCCTTTTGTCGAACCTTTAACCGCGATTGCGATAGGAACTCGGATTTTTCTCAGTGATTCACGCGTGGTTGCGCGAACACCCAACGTCACCGCTCCCACGATGTTGAAATTGTGTTTATCTCCTTTGTATATCGGGTAAAGTGTTTAATTTAGACGTGTCTCGACGAACGGGGAACATTTCTCCGACAATTAATCACAAAACAAATTCTCTTCCCCCACCCTTGTCGAAGGACGAACGGTTCCTTCGTTTCTGATTAAATTCTCTCGCAAAGAGAAGAGGGGACCGTCATTCGCCGAGGGGTACACTCCGAGAAAGTAAGAGAGGAGAAAAAGGAAGGAGAATCGACGCTTTTTCCTCTTTGACCACGCTTCCCTGCGGAAGAGGAATGGCCGTGATGTACAAGGTGGACAACCATGCGAGTTGACTTTAAAACGCGTGTTTTCTCGTGGTCGAAGGACCGAGAACATGTCCCGGAAAAAGTTTCGTCGCCAGAGACAGCGTCCCAAGAATCACTTCCGGTCCGGGCCACTCGCAGTGGCCGCTGGAGTCTGCGCATGCGTTCCAATACTCTCCATTGTTCTGTTTTATTTTATTTTATTCTATTTTTTTTGCGTAAAGGGAACTTTTAAAATATATTCTGGCTTTCTGAGGAAGGGTGTAAGGTTAGGTTGGATTTTCACCAACTAAAATCCCCATGCTGGTCTACCTCGCCGCGCTAGGGAAGTACTAGGAACTGGAAAGGAATATAACTAGTGGGGTAAAAGTGTGGTAGATGTCGCCAAAGAACGACAGTGCCGTATCAATTTGCTGCGTTTTCATTGTTGTCTGAAAGAGTGCTAAACTTCTTTCACAGTACACACTCTTCATTGTCCCGCCTCGAAACGAGGACTTCCTCAGAAATGGATGCTTAAAAGTCGAGTTTCTCTTGTCTCGTTTTTATTTTATTTTTATTTCATTTCATTTCGTCTCGTTTCATTTACCTTTGTCGATTATTCGAGTTTCGTTCGCTTTGAGAAATCTGGAGAGGTGGACGACAAATTTGCAAAAGGGAGAATTTCTCCGGAGAAACAGATGTTTAAATATTGTTCTCCTTTCCTGATTTTTGTTAATTTATTTCAGTTTTATTTCGTCTTTCGTTTATTTTTCACGAGTATAAAGGTTTCGTTCGCTTCGTGAGGTTTGTATACCGAGATATCAAGTGTTCCTGATTTTTCTTTTGTTTTATTTTCTATTCGCCTTCGTTGGAAATGGAAGATTCGTTTATTCTGCAAAATTTGAACAGGTGTAGGTGGATCTGAAGAATAGCACAGAGTTGTATTATAATAACCTGTAGCAACACTTGGTAACGAAGATGGGATTATTATTGGAATGGAAACCAGTATGAACAGTAATGCGTTGTATCTACCATAATCGTTTTAGTATGTTGCATACGTCCTGTTCCAGCTTTGCATCGTTTATTGTGTCCCTGTTACCAGTCAACATCTCTATTGATAATAATTGGCAGCAATAATTAGCTATTCAGTGGCATGATTTTTAAATGGCAATCTTCTATAAGATCTTTAGACTATTGAAAGAGTGACTCCATGTTTTTAAAACACTATATCCACTAAAAAAGGAAGAAAAAGCAAAATTATAAAGAATTATAAAAATTGCACCTCGTAACAAAATCAAATTCTGCCTCTTAATTCCTAATTTTCGAATATAATATGTAACATAGATAAATGCATATACAGGGTGTCTCAAAAGTGTCGAACAAAAATTCAAACTAAAAAAAACAATCCATAAGACTGTATAAAAAATATATTACAACACGTGGAACTATAGGGTGGCCATTGAAAAACTGAAGAATTTGGAAAAGTCATAACCTATTCATTTTCAATATTTTTTATTTTGGAAATAATACTATGAATCATATTTCTATTCAATCTAAAGTGTGTTTAATTAGAATTGTTTCTAAAGATTATGTTTGTTTTATATCATCCTGTAGGATTAAAATTTTTCTCGACAATTTTGAAACACCCTGTAGCAAAATTTCGTGCCACTGATCATATTGTCGATGACGCCAATGCGAGTTGAC